TAACTTAGTGAAATGATATATACATATGGATAAATAGAGTAGACTCCATATCAAAAACTAAATAAAATTCAGATTAAAAGTGTTTAAAAATGACAGCAAAATATTTTATCTTTTATATTTTATATTGCCTAACAATTAGTTTTAGAATTAAAAAGACTAATAATATTACATTACAAATTATTTTATTTAAACATACTATAATGAAATATAGAATGATTTGTAAATTATTTCAAGGGGCCTCTGAATAAGTAGCCAGGGATTATTTATCAGATATCACGGCGTATAAGTTGAATTAATCAGGGAGATATTTAGAAAAGCATATTAGCAAGAGGTCTAGGTCTAGCCAGCGGATTCACATGATTGTCAAGATTTGAAATATGTTTCTGTCTTATTCTCTCGAACTCGACTTTAATCATCCGAACTCTCAAGTCGAAATGTATGTTTTCATTTCTAATATACCAGGGTGCACCAATTGTCTTCTTAGAATTTTTGCTTGAGTTCTTTGCAGGATTTCGACATTTGACGAACAGGCATTGCCATATATCAGATTGGCTTAATGGCTTGGTTGTATAACAAGACTTTGTACTTTTAACATAAGGAAGACTAATGCCCGATTAGCCAGCGAAGGCTTATAGCCTTGAGCTTCATTTGAGTCCTTTTTGTTTCAATATGTTTCCGCCAAGTTAAACGTTTGTCAAGATGAATACCAAGGTACATCACTGTTTTTGTTTGCGGAACTACTATTCCGTTGAGAGTGATAGTTGCTGAGAAGCTGTTAAGACAGAATGTTATATGACGACAATTTTGCTCATTGACTTTATTTGACCATAGTGATAGACATCTTTCTACGAAGCACAAATGCTGTATCGTCAACAAATATTGATGTTACTAAATTGGTATCTGTGGAGATATCCGAAGTAAAGATGGGGTATAAGAATGGACCAAGAACGCTGCCTTGTGAAACACCTGCACTTATTAGGAAATCTTTAGTTCTGTGCGTGTTGTACTTTACATTGAAATATGTGTCTATCAAGTATGATTGAAGTACTGCGTGTGAGTTTGGCGGGAGTACTTGTCGTATTTTGTGGATCAGGCCCTCATACCATACTTTGTCGAACGCTTGTGCAACATCTAAAAAGACACCAGAGCAATATTCACGATTTTCAAAAGCGCTTCTTATTTTGTTAGTTATTTTGTTTACTTGTTCGATAATACCATGTTTTTTACGAAATCCAAATTGATGGCTTGGGATCAGATCTCGTTAATGGAAAAAAGGCATAAGTTTTGCTAGGAGCACTTTCTCAAACAATTTTGACAGGCAAGGCAACAAGCTTATAGGTTTATATGATGCGGCTAGTGCTATACCTTTTTCGGGCTTCTGAATCATTATAATAAATGCTTTTTTCTATTCCGTCGGGATATATCCAAATTTTATTAGCAAATACATTAGCTTTTCCTTTGTCGCATTGAGCGCATTCACCGCTGGAGTACCTTAACGGGGGTACTGCTTCAACAGGTGTTTTTATAATTTGATTAGCATTCCACAGTGATCCTTTGTTAGTCGTGTTTGAAGAGAACATTTTAATATATTCGTATTGCTTGTTTTCTTTTTCTCAAACAAATGCGCTCTTTAGTCGATTTACTGCCTCTTTTAATTTAGATTTGGCTGATGGGGATCGATTTTGTTGCCATTTTCGACGAAGCTTTCTTTTTTCTGCTCGGAGTCTTTCGATTTTGCTGTTACTAAAATGTTGCTCTCTAACCTGAGAAGGCGAATTTTGAGGTGTAGAAATCTCGGCAGCTGAGTAGAGAATCATATTGAATACTTGTACTGTATCATGTATCATGTATCTGACATTTGTTTTTGATTTTGTAATTGGTATGAACGTGAGTCCTTATGTATTTCTTAAATTTCAGCCAGTTGGTGTTTTGAGTTATAAGTCTTTGTGGACTTTGAATTAGTTGGGGTTGGGACATTTATCTGTGAAATGCGATATTACAGTAATAAATATATTTATTAACATATAATAATATATATTATAATTAATATATTAATAAATTTATTTATTTATATCTGAGTTAACACAAAAATTAATTTTAAAGTTAACTAAGAATAAGGAACTACACTACTAGGTCCTACGCTCTAAAAAAAAATTTAGATTTTACCTTCCAAGCGAATAACTTTAAAGCTCAGTATATATCTATGTTTTCGACAGTTGAACTGTTCCTGTTCTTAAATTTAAATTAAATTAATAATTCATTTAATTATTTTAAATAAAATTTAATATATTTTTATGGTATTTGTGTAAAAACCAAAGTTTATAGTTTCCACTAAGCAATAATATTCCTGTTTTAGTACTTTTATTTACTAGACGACTACAGTGTTCCAGTCAGAGCTTAATTTCCCCATTAATTACTTCTCTCTGTATACTCAGCACTTTCAATTATGCCTAAAAACAAAATTCAATAAATATAGAATTAAAAATGCACTTATAGTGTTGACATAACTAAACAAACATAGTTAAAAATATATTATTACCTATAACAACAAATGAACAAGAACAAAAGTCTATGGACTACATTTTGAAAGTACACAACACAGTACAGAATTAATTTGTGTAAAAATTAATTCCAATAATTTTTTTCACTTTAATTCTTGAACTAATTTTAAATTGAAAATCAGTGTGCAATGAATTTTAATGTTCGATTTAAATAAAATACTTTTAATTTGTTAGAATAAAAAAACTGATTTCTCAAGACTATTCGTTAAATAGACAGAGAACATTTTTGAAATTTGTTGTTTATTAATTTGTTGTTTATTAACAATAAATAAATCTTAACTTAATATGGCAAAATGTAATGATAACCAGAAAGAAAAAGCTGATTTGGACGAAACTACTACTGAACAGATTCTCAGAAAAAGTAAAGAGTTGGAAGTCGCACTAACATCTAATTTGTGCCCAATTGAAGCAAAGTGGCGGTTATTTGTATGCGCTGTCATTAGTGATGGTCCCAAGGAATTGGATCTTCCACTATTTGTTAAAAGCATGGCAGAATTGTTAAATCTAATACAAAACACACCATCACTAAGCGTTTTGCGTACACAACTACCTAAAAACAGTTGCAAGAAAAATATTATACTGTTTCTGCATTGGCTGTTGGTTGAATGTAAGTACCCAACTTTGCAACTGTTCGATATAGAAGAATTTATAAATTTATTGGATTATATACAACTAAGTCATAACGAAAAAACACCAATAGTAGCATACAGTATCACATACGCAGCTGATTGTGAAGAAGAAAATATATTTGAGTCAAAAAAAAGTCAGTTTGGAAGTAAATACGCATTTTTTGGTTGTAATCCGGATAATTTATATCACTTATTATATGATAATCAGCTAATGCATAGAGGTAACAGCAATGATGGTAGAGTATACCTGACTACAAAAGCTACACCTATTTTAAACAAAATGCCTTGCACGCAATCTATTAACGTTCAAAATCGTGATATAGTTTTCAAAATTTTGGCATTTTGTGAGTTTGTGAATATATCAGAATACATAGATACCGCTTTCGATAAGGAATACAATTCAACAAATATTTGTATATTGTTGCCAGATATAGTAAGAATGCGTTACCTACTATATTACGTGGAACCAAAGCAACCCATATCATTTAATGCATCTTGTGAACAACAAACGGGATCCACACAATCGAAATTTCATGAACAAATGGAGCCTATTCCATTGAATAAATCAGTGGCAACTATTCCATTAGAAAAATTATTTGAACATCTGGATGTAGCTTTAGTACTGGAAAAACCTTTCAAACAGCAAGATGTGTCTAGCCAAACAGAGAACGCTTTTGAATCAATTGCACCGATTCCGGTTTCTGTTTCAGATGGTTTAGAACAATTACCAATAACTGTCATAACGAATCACAGTGTTGAACAAACAGAGACATTCGTACCAACAGAAGATTCTTTTGAACTACCAGATGCATCTGCTGTTATAGAGAAATCTATTCAACACCTAGATGAAACCATTTCAACGAAAAAACCGGTTAAGAAACAAATTTTAAAAGGCTACGGGCTTCCAATAACTTCTGCCTTGATCTTGTTGGGCGCATTAACTTACTTGTATGGAAAAAATGTAAAATCGTTCTGTATCTCTGCCGGACAAAAATTTGGGAAACTTTTATTGGAAAGTTTGTAATCAATAATATCATTTTACATAAAAACAAATTTATTTTTTAGTAAATAAATTATTATACAATAAATTACATTAACTACTAATATGTTGAAATATAGTATTTGTTTTTGATTTTATACAGATCTTAAATCAGCATTCAGAATATTATAAAATATACTATATATTTCAATAAATAATTATCTGTGAAAATGTACAATAATACATTAAGACTGAAAAGTTTTCGGAAATTCTCATTTAAAATTCGCGCGCTGTATATTTTTCGATATTTTAAGTTTATGTAGTTTGGCAGCACTGTCCTTAATTACTATGCCAAAAATGAGCTCGATCTGTCAGACAGTTCGTTTACGGCAGCTGTTGAAACCAGTTCACCTCAGTAGTGCGTTGCGAAATGTCTTCGACGGTCGTACGACCGTCCTGGAAGGCTTTGTACCACTCATAAACTTGAGTTTTCGATAAAACTGATTCCCCATAAGCCTTTTGTAGCATTCGCAACGATTCTGCACACGAAATTTCGTTCGAAACACAAAATTTGATGCAAACTCTTTGTTCAATATTTTTTTCCATTGTTTTTTTCGCAACGCCCTACTGAGGTGAACTGGTTTCAACAGCTGCCGTAAACGAACTGTCTGACAGATCGCGCTCATTTTTGGCATAGTAATTATCCTTAATTGCTGCCAAACTACATAAACTTAAAATATCGAAAAATATACAGCGCGCGAATTTTAAATGAGAATTTCCGAAAACTTTTCGGTCTTAATGTATGGATAATATATATAAATAAAAACTTACTTTTTATTCCAATATTTATGAAAGTTACACGAATAGATCAGATAGTAATAGATATCTGAAAAAAGAAAAGAAAAATGTTAATATAAAATATTCAGAAGTTATTGTAACAATTAGAAGAATATGTACTTTATTTCTTGATGTAGCTAGTGTCTTTACTAATGCACTGCCCTTACTAACATTTCACAATATAGGGAACACACAACATATCTATGGAAACAAAAAGAATTGTTAACAGATAAAATTCGTGGTAAAATTATATAGTTTATCAATTAAAAATAGACGTCTATAGCGAATTCTAGATTTCTTCATTTACTTATAGACTCGTACAGTATATTTATTCATATTTCGTTTTTTGTAATTTTTGAGTACTAACCACATAATATAATTGCTAGTAGTCCCAAACACAACCGGACAAGGTGCGAAATATTGGTTCTATTATTTAGTATTATTTGATATCTAATATATCAAATAAACCATGTGATATCAAAAGTAAACCTTAAAATTAAAAGTCAACTTTGCTCAGTAATAACTCTTTAAAGTTGAAATCTTCTATGATGGGAAATCGATGTCTAGTAGAGAGAGCTGGATAGTGGCAAAATAAACGTTGTCGTTTCTCTTGTCTTTTCATTTTGACAATTTTTGTACAAATCTCTAGCGGGGATATGTAATTTCGTCGCCAACTGCAGATCGATACTAATCCCTGATAATTTCTTTGTCACACATTTTTTCAAGAGTTTAACAAGGCATTTGAAAAAAATATTGGAATACGTATTTTTGATATGTTTTATCAAAAACAAAAAATCTGTGGTATGTTTGGCTTTCGATGAGTTTCACAGTTTGCTCTATCATTGTGTCTTTTAATATAATAAATTGTTGTTTGGGTGCTGTATTAAATATGTGAGCTTCCACTTATCTATTGGTGAACATAAATACAGACAACTGAGATGATAATAGTCTGAAAGATAAAGTGGTTGACTAGGACAACGTTTAAAGGAAAACAGTCAACATTTAATGAATTCGTTTGTAAGTTTATGATGAACTCTAAAACGTACAAACAGGCAAGATAACTATTGTAAAGAATCAGTGTAACTTTATAATTGAAAACTTTATAAATAATTTCAAGTGGTTTTTGTACATAATATCAACACAACTAAGTTTTGTGTTCTCCATAAAACTTAGAGTATCTAATTCAAATTTCTTTACCATATATATTAATTCTTACAAAAATTAGAAGTAAATTTGCAGATTTGTTTAGCTGACTCAATATCTAAGCTTCCACAAATGCGCCATCTTAATATACTGAGTAGAGCTTCTTGAAGAAGTTTAGAGAGAGCATTTATATTTTTTTCTTTTACTAAAACATTAAGATCACCAGCATATGTAATTATTCATTAGGTTAAATATAACACGATTTCAAAAAGATTGTAAAATCTTATTTGAAAATTTTCATAATATTTGTACATGATATAATATTACTTATTATTTCTAAAATTGTTGAGTTTTTACCAAAGTTTGTAAGGGAAAAGATAATGGCTACAGGTACGATATTGTGTAAAGTTCTTTTATGCGTACAAAGAGTGCAAAATTAGTTTTATAACAGTAGAAATGTTCAATCTAAACTACTACTGACAACACAAAAAAGTGTTCTCAACAATAAACATGACAAGGTCAAGTTTTTCTGTTTCCCAATAATCATTCTAGTATTTCCAACTTACTAATTTTTATAACTTTTTGTATTTGTAGATATACATAATCAGATTAGTTTTACTTCTCCAATTAGATAAGTTTCTCAAGATAATAAGAAACATAATAACTTTCTTTGAAGAGTAATTCGATTTCGGGCATATAAATCGGTTCCGAGTATATCACACACATCCAGTTTTGAATTGCTTATAAACTTTGTATAAATTTAAATTGATGTAAATTATGTTTTAACACTATCATTACTTTATAGCTTTCAACAGAAATATTTACTATATGTTAAGTCTAGCCATTAAATCTAAGCAGACAAAACTATCTTTAAGAAGCAGTGATACAAGCATTAACGGAAATTACACGAAAGTAGTAAGAAAGAAAAAAGCTTATCAAATTTAAAAACGTATCTAAAATCTCATAAAAACAGTAGCAAAAATCATTAAATGAAATTACAATAAAAACAAAGCCGGCAATTAAATTTCAACTCTGAAATTGTACCAAAAAAAGAGAAAGTAAACGTAATTACCATCATAATATCGAATTTCAAGAAGCAAAACATTAAGTATAAAACAATGTTTGACAACTAGAAACCGAACTTATATTAACAAAAATAGGCCAAAGATACAAATGTCAAGATATCGAGATACTTAGATACAAACTGTGCGCGTAAACTTGCAGATATGTTAAAAGAATATTGTTCAACGTTGTCAAAATGTTTTTCGTAAACTTTTGAAAATTGAAAGTTTTAAGTTGATTTTTTTGTATTTTTTTTTTATTTTTGCTATTTAGTTTTTAGTTTCTTCGTGCCATAAAAATTACAAGATTTCATGCTTCTTGGTTATGTTGTGAGTTTTGAATACAATTTGCTACAATGAACGAAGATGTGATGTATTGCGCTTAATGAACTCACAAAGTTTATGTTTAGCAAGGAAAGATATATACACTTTTGCGTAAAAAATTTTAATTAAGATGCTGTGAGGCATTAATGCGCGTAATAAAAATAAATGAGAAATTGTTACATTTTTGCACTTGGAAAAATACAAAACAAATTGCACCACATAATCGTTTGGCAGTTGCATTATAAGTGATAGTTTATAGCTTACATACTTGTGTTTCAAGATATTAAAATAATTTTGAAACTTGATTAAATGAAACTGGCTCACTGTCCAACTGTGATACTTTTCAATTTGGTAATGAAAACGAATAATTTATACACATATTATCAAAATTAACATGAATCATTTAGTTTGCCATATGTACGGTTCTTATTACATTCTAATAGGTTGTTCAGCAAGTTAGTGGAAGGCCACCATCAATGCTAAAACTAGAACTTCGAATTAAATATTTCTTCTTTTATAAGAACAGTGAAATTATTTACAGAACATATAAAGTTAACGTCTCTTTTAATAACCTTTTAATCTTTTAACAATGATAGAAATTGAAAATGACTATTGAATTGTTTATAAAACAATGTATACCGAATTAGTTGATGTGTGAAATCAGGGCTGTCCAAACCAGATGCGATCGCGGGCCAATACAAATTACTGTACAGATTGGAGGGCCGCAGAAATAAATACATACGTTTACGTTTATTACGTTATTATTATAAATATATTATAACTTTATAAATATGGTTATAATGTTCAATTTAGTTTTATTAATTTATCAATGTAAAATCAGTTTTTGGTATACCATAAAAATAGAATAATGAAGTTTTACCAGTACACCAAAAGAAAATTTACGTAATTGTAGTAAATCAAAAACATGTTGCGGGCCGCACAAACATTAGCCACGTGGGCCGCACTTTGGCCCGTATTAAATAAATCGGCATCTTCTATAATTGTATCTGAGTCTGCAGGATTTGATGCAAAAATACAAAATATGATTTGGGAAAATTATCGATTGATCGAGAGAAATTTAGAAGAAGTTGTAATCATTTCATATAGACATAGTAAGAAATATTTTATCCCTACTTTTGTGCATTAAATGCACGTGCATTCAGCAACATCTGGAACGTCTTGGGAAAAAAATATATCAATTTTGTAAATCGTTTCGTTACAATGAATGAGACTTGAGTGTCACGCTATAATTCTGAAGCAAAACAGTTTATCTAAAACAGTAGAGAAAACACTGTTTTTCGACAACGAAATGAATTTGTGTACAGAAACAGACCAATGTTCACCTTCAATTTCTCAGGACACAAAATGAATTTTATTGATAGATTACTTTTGAAATGATCAAACAATAAAGTCATATTATTATTGCAACTTTTTGAATTTAAATCAGTGATCACTTAAATCAGTGATATACGTATACAATAAGGCCTTAATTAATTTCTAACCTATCTTACATCTAAAAAACTTCTTTCGTTTAAAAACAATTTCATTAAATAAAAATTTAATAGTTGTCTTAGAGAAGTATTTTGCAAATCTTTCGCCACACCATAGAGATGGGATCCATAACTTAGATAACTTAGACAAATGGAATAAATGTAATGAAATTTAACAGATATTTTATTCAATAACAGTTAATATATAAAAAGCAATGGTGCACAGATTTGTAAATAATTTACAAAATCAAGAGAACAATATAGAACAGATGTATGAAATGAAGAAGCGAATATCACAAATAAGACTACCAAAAACAGCTTACGAAGAGATCTGGTTACTAGTTCAATACAAATTTACTTTAATAGAAATGCGATAGTTCTTTATTATGAAGAATCAAAACCTTAACCTTTCTAATGAAAGTTACTTTTAGTCAACTATATTTTCAACTCAATTTAACAATTAGTTAGATTATAATTATAACCCTTGTAATTTAAAAAATTTTTATTATTTACTGACACCGGGTGTCAAAGAAAAGTTTAACCGATAAAAAAATTTTTATCGAAAAACCCTCATAATCTTAAATAAGATTCATCCAGCGTCCGCAACTTATTTATACTTCATTTACTTTCTTGTATTTATAAATGTTAATACCACTCATTTCCGAAAGAAAGCTTAGTATTTTGCCTTCAAGATATTTACATTTTTTTTATTTATTTTAATAGACTGAATGCTATTAAGTTAATTTCAAAACGCATTTTAGTTTTAAAAATTTTTTAAAAGAAGAAGAAGAATTATAAATAACTGATTCCGGAGATCTCACACCATTCGTATCAAATAAATTTGTTTAAGTGATGCAGAAATTTCTTTTAGTCAAGAATATACATATTATAGAAACTGTCTATGAAATCAAATTACTACGAAGGATCATTTTAAAATAATAGTTCTAGAATAACGCAACGAGTCTATAGGTGATCTACATGAAGTCTATCGCAAACTCATCCCTAAACCAAAACCTAAGCATCTTTTTTCT